AGCGACTGGGTAGTAGAAGAAATTAAACATGAACTCACAAAGTTCTTAGAAACAAATGAGAATGAAAACACAACATATCCAAATTTTTGGGACAAGGTGAAAGTGATGTTGAGAGGACAATTTATTGCAATAGATGCACACATCCAAAAGAAGAAAGAACCAAAATTAACACAGCATCTACAACAATTAGAAACAGACCAACAGAGGGAACCTACAGCCATTACAAGAAAAGAAATAATAAAGATTAGAGCAGAAATAAATGAGATAGAAAACAGAAAAACTATAGAAAGAATTAAGAGGACACAAAGCTCGTTCTTTAAAAGGATTAACAAAATTGACAGACCATTGGCAAACCTAACAAAAGAAAAGAAGGAGAAGACACAAATAACACGCATTAGAAACAATATGGGCGATGTCACAACAGATCCAAAGGAAACCAAAAGGATAATAACAGAACACCATGAAAAATTGTAGCCAACGAATTAGAAAACATAGAAGAGATGGATACGTTTTTAGAAAAACACAACCTATCTAAACTTACACAGAGTGAAGTAGAAAACTTAAACAGACCTATAAAAAAAAAAAAAATGATTGGGTCATCAAAAAACTACAAACCAAAAGAAGTGCAGTCCCAGATGGCTTCACTGGTGAGTTGTACCAAACATTCAGGGAAGCGCTGTCACCAATTCTACTCAAGTTATTCCAGAATATAGAGGAGGATGGAAAATTTCCTAATACATTTTATGAAGCAAGCATAACCCTCATACCAAAACCAGGGAAGGATGTCACTAAGAAAGAAAATTATAGACCAATATCCCTCATGAACATAGATGCAAAAATTCTCAACAAAATCCTAGCCAATAGAATCCAACAACACATCAAAAAGATAATACATCATGATCAAGTGGGATTCATATCAGGGATGCAAGGATGGTTCAACAGTAGAAAAACAATCAGTGTACTCCACCATATAAATAAGAAAAAAGAAAAGAACCACATGATCATATATATTGATACAGAAAAGGCGTTTGACAAAATCCAACATCCATTCCTGATAAAAACACTCAACAAAGTAGGAATTGAAGGGAAATTCCTCAACATAATTAAGACCATGTATACAATAACCTACATTACTGTCAATGGAGAGAAACTGAAAGCCTTCCCTCTGCAAACTGGAAGCAAACAAGGATACCCTTTGTCACCATTCCTACTCAGTATTGTATGGGAAGTCTTAGCAAGAGCTATAGAGCAAGACAGGGAAATTAAAGGCATTCAAATTGGAAAAGAGGAAGTAAAAATCTCTCTATTTGCAGATGAAATGACCCTATACATAGACAACCCCAAAGACTCAGTATATAAAAAAAGCAACTAGATCTCATTGTAAGATTCAGCAAAGTGGCAGGATATAAGATCAACATACAAAAATCAGTTAGATTCTTCTATACCAACCATGACAGCACTGAAAAGGACATTAGGAAAGCAATACCATTTATAGGAATAAATCTAACTAGAGAAACAAAGGACCTATATAAATAAAACTACAAAACACTAATAAAAGAAACCAAAAAAGACTTACAAAAATGGAAGAATAGACCATGCTCTTGGATAGGAAGATTTAACATTGTGAAAATGTCAATATTGCACAAAGCAATTTATACATATAATGCAATTCCAATCCAGATTCCAATGACATTCTTCAAACAGATGGAAAAAACATTTACAAACTTTATATGAGAAGGTAAGAGATTCAGGATAAGCAAAGCACTGTTTAAGAAGAAGAATAAGGTTGGACACCTCTCACTACCAGATTTCAAAATTTATTACACAGCTACAGTGGTCAAAACAGCTTGGTACTGGCACAATGAAAGATAACATTGATCAATGTAACAGAATTGAGAATCCAGAAATTAACCCATCCACATACAGCCAACTGATTTTCAACAAAGTGCCTGTATACATTGCATGGGGAGGTGATGATAGTCTTTTCAACAGATGGTGCTGGCAGAACTGGAAAGTGATATGCAAAAGATTGAAACAAGACCTTTATTTCATGCCTTATGCAAAAACCAACTCACCATGGATTAAAGACCTAAATGTGAATCCCAGAATTTTGAAGGACATCAATGAAAAAATAGTGACAAATATGAGGACTCTAATTCAGGGAATACACAAACTACCAAACATTTTGAAAACTACACAAATAAAAGTAGAGAATCTACATGATTGGGACATACTAAAAATTAAAAACCTATGTGCATCAAAAGACTTCACAAAAGAGTAAAAAGGGAACCCACAGAATGGGAAAAGATCTTTCACAATGACACATCAGACAAGGGGCTCATTTCTAAAATATATAAAAACTACAACACCTCTACAAGAAAAAGACAAACAACCCTATTAAAAAATGGGCACAGGACACGAACAGACACTTCACCAAGGACGAGATCCAGGCAGTCAACAAACATATGAAGAAATGCTCACAATCACTAGCCATTAGAGAAATGCAAATCAAAACAACAATGAGATATCATCATTGTTGAAATAACAGCAAAGTTCAAAAAAGTAGAGGACAATAAAGGCTGGCAATAATGTGGAGAGACTGGGACCCTTCTACATTGTTGGTGGGATTGCAAAATGTTCCAACCACTCTGGAAAGCAATATGGCGCTTCCTCAGAAGGTTGGAAATGGAAATACCTTATGATCCAGCAATTCCTCTACTTGGTATTTACCCACAAGAAATACAAGCCATAACATGAGTAGATACATGCACACCAATGTTCACAGCAGCACTATCTACAATAGCAAAAAGATGGAGACAGCCTAAGTGCCCATCAATTGAAGAATGGATAAACAAACTGTGGTACATACACACAATGGAATATTTTGCTACCTTGAAGAATAACAAGGAAGTTGCAAGCCACTGCATTACATGGATGAACCTTGAACACTATGCTGAATAAAATCAGTCAGTCACAAAAGGAGAAATACTGCATAGGACTGCTATTGTAAAAGACTAAGGAAAAGAACCCATACTAAAGGGGTGGTGGGATTCTTTGCTGGTTGCTGGGATGAAGTGGGTAGGGTGAGTGGAGGGAGGGTAAGGTAGAGCACAGGGTAGGGAATAGATGCAGGATAGTATGGGTGCTGGGAAGGGGCCAATATGCAAGAAGGGGGAGGGAATGGAAGAAGAAGGTGGATGGGAAAATAATTAGGCAGTTTTGCGTGGGTTAAGTGGGATAGAGGTAAATAATAATGCGTGCATATCCTTGGAAACACAAGGCCCTGGGATACAGTGATTGAGACAAGGTTGGAATAGGCAAAAGGGGGGAAACAATGTTAAGATGTTTGACTGTCTTTTGAATCTTGGTTTCCCTTGCATACCATCATAATATAGAAACTTGAGGGGAAGAGAAAGGAATATCCAGAAATATCACCACCATAGAAAGCTTATAAGCCTGTCTTCAGCCTATAACTGATTGTAATACCTAAAATGGGGCTACAATATGCCCAGTGAAGGAGGCTTCCTGTGGAGCCTCTGCATTACATAAGAACATAGGTGGAATCCTGAACCCATCCAGAATCTTGAGGTGGGAAATATCCACTTGAAAGGACAATCAGGTTAGCTTGGAGTGGCTAGAAAAGCAAAGATACTTCTTGAAAGAAAGACCCGAAAGGAAAAAATACAAAACAATAATGGCAGTCTGACCAACAAGAACAAGCAAGTTGCTAGTCCAGGACACATCAAGTCAAGTGGTTGGGCCCCTCAGGGAAAACCTCCTTCCAAGACTAAGACTCAATTGGAATACACGCTCTGATAGGTGACCATGTTAGTCACCAATAAGGGAAGTGAGGGAAAAACAGCAATGAAGCAGCAAGCTAAGCCCTACCATGTTCAGTAGAGTCCTGTAAACCTCAGCGGAGACCTGGTTGGCTGGCAGTGTGGCAAGACCTGGGGACTCCTGGGCCCAGAGTCAGTGACATAGCCACAGAGGACAAGAGTGGAGAGTGAAGCATCCAGCTGATAAGAAATGAGGGTATATGCACAAGAATACACACACTTGCAGATAATGCCCACTTGACCTGGCTGCAATGGATGGATGATCAGTACTCAACTAGAAGAAGAAAGAAGAGGAAAAAAAGAGAAACTTGATACAATTTGATGAACTTGACCTACACCTGTGGATGCAGTAGCTCAAAAGAGGGAATATATCTTTACAGCGAGGATCATTCCCACCTCCTTGATACACAGAGTAGACATGAATGGGCAACATGGACATTGGCTAACCAAAATCGAAGGTGGGGGGAGGTTGGCTACAAAGGCAAGAAGTGACTGGCTTACAAGCTTTCAAGAGGGAGCCTAGATCCAGAGGGTGTGGAGGAAGGTAGAATCTCCACTGAATAGTATCCAATCTGTCTGGGCAGGGCTGATGAAAGGAGATGGGGATAGCACTCATATGGGCACAATAATGAATAATTGCTATCAGGACTGACTGTGAGGGTTGGAAATGTAAAGGTAGACATTTTGTAGCAAAAAGAGGGGAGTGGTTGACTTTGCAGTCTAGGAGCAGAGGCCCCTTAGGACCATCAAGGGAGAAGAGCGGAGTGGAGGACCCTACCCAGAGAAACAGTGATGCCAGAGATGGAAGCAGAGATGATGACATGGAGAGATGGAGCAGCTAGGGACTCTAGACCCAGAGAGGGAGAGGGGCTGGATGTTGAGGACCAGGGGGCAGGCTTGTGGGGTATACCCTTTGGTTGGTTGATGATGTATGGAGCGGATTGTAACCATGACAATGAAATGATATATGATAGGATGAATTTAAAGCTAATGTTCTTCCATGTAAACTATCACATAATTCACAATAAAACATTAAAAAAGAAAAAGTAGGCCAACTGCAAGACACAACCACACATTTCTTTCCAACTTTAAATAAAAACATGCCTGGTGGATTATTTAGTCTTTTGAATTATTATCCCACTGTGAGCTGGTGGTACATACTCTATCCAAGATTCCTCATCATCTAGGTCCTGGAAGAACTGGAACAAGGCATAAGTCTCTTTCAATTTCTCATGATGTGCAGCAGCCAAATCCTGGACATTCAGGAAGCGCTCATTGACACTATCCCTTTTCTCCATAATCTGGTCCTCATTGAAAGCTCCACTGGAGATCAGTTCATCAGCCAATTCATTCAGTTTCTTGAGTGCATCCTATAAAAACCCAGTGTTCAATGAATAGACCATAGACCTTAGACCACCTCTGGTTCAGATTAAAAAAACAATGTCAAATAGATTGCTTTTGAAGATAGTTACATATTGTACTCTTAATTCAGGTTGGATAATGGGCAGACCAGAGCTTAGTATGTGTTGTTGTTAAGTGCCATCGAGTTGATTCCAACCCATAGCAACCCTGTATAGGGTTTCCAAGGAGCAGCTGGTGAGCTTGAACCACTGACCTTACAGTTCAAACGACTTTACAGTCTGGCACATTAACCAGTAGCACACTTGGTCTCACAAATCTTGTTTTTTCTCTTGATGTTCTTTACCTGTATTATCCGTATCTCCTCAACTAGAACATAAGCTTTGGTAAACAAGAACTCTGTCCCCATATATGACTTTCTTCCTTCACAGCATTTGCTAGCCACAGAATGATTGACTTAAATATTCAACCAGAACTACTCTATTGGTAAATATTTTTAGGCTGGCCATATAGCACACCCAGGAATTTTACAGCTTTTTTTTATATCTTGGAACCCTGTTAGCACAATGTTTAAAAGTGCTTGATTACTAATTAAAAGTTCAGTGGTTTGACACCTACCAGCATGTCCCTCACTTCTTCCATGATGAATTTCTGGTTACTATTAGTATTAAATTAGAATCCTGCCTACAATTTCCAGAATACATATGTAGTTTTTTCTGTTCTTTAAATCTTCACTTTACACATCTCCATCTGATTATTTTTTCTATTAAATTCCAAAGACAAGATAAAATAACTTTTGAAGACTGTCAGTTTATATGTACTCATCAATATAAAAAGATAAATAGGTAACTTTAGAATCTACCTCATATAGTCTTACAATCTATAGCTTAATCATTATTGGTTAACAGTGACTGTTACAATGACTCTGAAGCCCATGGATTTTACCTGATTATAATGACTGCTGACTGAGAACACTAATATTAGTATTACAAGGCTGTGCTCTCAAATGCTTTATTATGAGGGAGGGAGGAAAGTCAGAAACATTTCCCTTCTGGCCAGCGAGTGGGATTCTAGCACTACTTACCTCTCGGGCCAACATCTCTTTTTCCAATAGCTGATGCTTCTTAAGCAGGTTGCCTGCTGAAGCCAAATCCCTGGCCTGATCTTTCATGGCCAGCAGTGTCTCTGCCTGGGAATGGAAGAATAAGAAATAAAATTTCCAGAAAGAAACTGTCCTAAAGAAAAGCATGATTGGCAATTATGTCCTCATATTTGTCTCCCTAAAAGGTCAAAGTTTCCAGCACGCATTTGCTTATCCAATTAAGTATCAACTAAATGCTTACTACATGTTTGTCACTGTGCTTATTACTGGAAATAGTATAGTTAACAAAACCATGGATTTTATACTTTATATTCATGCCACCCCTGCTTTTGTGTTCACTTTTTAAAAAAATCATAAGGTATACATTGAATGAGATTTTTCTTTTTTATAAAACAATATGCTCCAAATAGTACTAAACCACTTGATTATAAAAATAGTTTGATACATTACAGAGTTGGTGGAAAAAAAGACTTTTAACAAACCTACTTCTTCAAATGGGTAAGTATTGAAACAAACCTAATGATCAACAACAACAAAAAAAAAAACCCACATCATTGCATTGCTAAAGCCAGGGAGATGAGCAGTATGATTTAAGGAATAAAGGCTTTGAAGCCATATTGAGTCAGATTTTCAGTTTTGTCACTTGGGTATTTGTGTTTTGGGGCCAGTTATATAACTTCTCTGAAAGCCTTGTTATCATCCGCAGTAACATTTGGGTCTCATTAGGATTAAGTGAATAATATGTATGAAGTACTTGTACATAGTACAAGTACATAGTAATAGTTCAGACATTAGTAGCTGTGTTTCAATGAGAAGAAGCTTGGTACATTTTAAAATAGGTTCGAGACCAATGCAGCAGCCACCCAAGTGACTCTCTAGCAATGACTAGAACAGAAGGTCACCTAGTCTCTCCATCAAGAGACCAGCAATTATGACAAATTACACAGAGCTACACATATGTTATAGTTATGAAATTACTAGACTTTGAAGAGATATCTTAGTAGAGTTTTTAATTGAGTTCAAGAGCATGTGGGATGGAACCTTTCAGGATATAGGAGAACACAGCTCCAATACAAATGGAAAAACAAAAAGGAAAGGGTTGTCTAAATTTCTTGATACCTATCTGAAAAATGAGGGTGTGGTATAAGATCCAATGAGATCTTTTTGAATCAATCAGATCTGAATTTATATCCTAGATCTCCCATGTACTGGCTGTATTACTTAGCATTTCTGAATTTCAGTAAAACACTGCTAAGTGGTCCATGTTTAATAAATCGCTTTCAATGGTGATGGTGAGGTAAGCATCATTAACATTATTAAAATCCTTATATAGCCTATGAATCAACATGTTTATAGGATACAACAGGAAAATTTAGAAGGACCAATAACTCCATTTTATTCCTAAGTATGGAATTAAAGCTTGGATTTGAGTATGATGGAATTGGCCTCTACACTCACTTCCCATTTCAGCTGATTTGTCCTTTACCTAACTCAGCTTCTTTTCTCATATTTCATTACACTATATAGATATTGTCCTGTCCCATTCCATCTAGCAATGGAGTCACCAACAATCTGAGGTTGGTACAAGTAGAGTATTCTAAATGATGGCAGGAATATGTCACTCTATTGTGCACTGATAGGAACTGTCTTCAATATGAGATCCTGGTCTGATCACTATCCTGGAAAAACACATGTTCAAAAGAGAATGACCAGGTTTATAAAGGGACTTAAAAACAACCATTATGAAGAAAATATTGAAAGAACCAAAGAAAAGAGCCAAGGAAAAAACTAGAATAATTTAGCATACATCTATAGGAACAGAATTAAAACAAGCTTATTTTAGTCAATATTGGGGAAAATGCCTCAATGGTGAGATTTCTCCAAAGGTAAATGTTCTTCTTTAGAAGGTAATGGTAATGCATTTCCTACTATCTAAGGTATGCAATTATAGACCAAAACAGCTTTTTTTTTTTAAATTAAAGAAACTACATAAGGATTTCTGAATTTGATAGACTTTAAAATAGATGGCCTTCAAAGTTTCTTCACAGTTATCTTAGGATTCCCCATAACACAGTTCCCCAGATGAACTGTGATTCTTGCATGGATTCCCACCATTTCTGGAGACTTGCGTGACTACTGGGTAGACAGTAAATAACTTACATATTTACTACACGTAAAGACTAATAGTTTTAATTCCATCTAATTACAAAACTTCATCCTTCTGAAGCTCCTGGGACCCCACTCTACCTAGATGTCGTTACCTCTGAGAGCCAGAATTCAAAATCCCGGATTCCTGTGTTGAACCTCTGCTGGCGACTGGCCTCGGCGAGCTTATTCCCTTTATCAGTTGTTCTCTCATGCAAGAAGTCCCAATGATTCTTCAGATCTTCCAGTTGTCCCTAACCCAAAGAGAATGAGGAGTCATTAATGTGGTTAGGACTCTCAGTCCTGTGATAACCTGAGAGGATAGTAAAGAGAGGTTCTAGAAAGGACTAGTCCAAATTTGCTGGTACCTTAATAACATACATATGTAACCAGTTGTTCTTGAACTATGAAATAACAGGGGGTATTGGAAAGAAAAGACTCCAGGTGTGGTCGCTTCTGGATCATCACTGGGCTGTGAAACACAAGGTCAGCAGTTCAAACCCACCAGCTGCTCTTTGGAAACCCTACATGGTCTCACTGTGAGTCAGAACTGACTCAATGGCACTTAACAACAACATTGGAAAGAAGGGAACATTTCTGGACATGGTCCTGGTCTGATTACAGGGATTGACCTCCGAATGCCAAAATACACTCACAATATAGATATAAATTGTAAAAGAAGCATTGAAAGACTTAGGAACTAGCAAGTATGATAAGAGTTAGGAATTAGGACTAAAGCTTTATTGGAATTCTAAGTTCTGGGTATGATGGGAGCAGAAGGTTTGAGTACCACTATTATCTTCCTTTTTTGTGCAACAATTAGAGGAAAGAATATATTCCATATCCCTACACATGGGAACATTGAAAGAATAAAATATTTTGCATGTGCCTTCCTGGCATAGAGTCTAGTCATAACAGAAACTCTTACCTTCATGATTTCTTCATTGCCATCACAGGCCCCTCGTTCAATCAGGGAGTTCCCCAGGTTGATGACTGCTTCCACCTGTTCAGCTCGGCCATTGACCTCATTTTCAAAGGTCTGATGTTTCAGGTATTTCCTCTGAAGAGAAATAGAAACAAATTTACTCTCTCATTTAGAGAAGCAGGATGAAGCAAATGCTGATGAAAAGGAAGTTACTTTTCCACCATAGCATTTCTAAAGCTAGAGGTGACTTTTAAAGATCCCTGTATATTAGACTCACAAGTTCCTGGTGGCAGACAGGGACAGTAAGAAAGTAGTCAGTATAGTGGAATGACCATTTAACCAACAAACTGGCTTATGGTGAAGTTGTCTAGGATTTCTATTTTGGATTTACCTGAATGTTCGTAGGGTCTTTGTAGGATTCATCACAGGCTGTGGGGAGCATCTCACTGATCCATTCTTCCAGTTCCTCAAGGTCATGATTAAATTGTTTCAGGTCAGCATTGTCTCCAAGCTTTGTTCTCTCAGCAATTAGTTGAGCTTTGAGAGCATTCCACCTTTGAAAGGGGGGGTGGGGATAAATCATTCTCTGCCCTACACTCTTCCCCTAAGCTATGATTCACATCAATGAATTTTTCCATTCACCAGCCTGACTATTCTCTCACATAGTCTCATTATTTTCAAATTTAAAATATAGTGGTTATGCCTGATAATTTCAAAAGTATTTTCCAAATCTCTTTCATTTTTTATATGAGTCTGAGTGGAAAATGTTTCCAATGTATCAAGATAGTTTTAGATATCTAGAATGGAGAAGAATTCCACCCCCACATTCAAGGATAGCGAAGAAATCCTTCTGTTACATCTACCTGTAGCAAAACAGTCACTCAGGTCTGACCTGTCTAGAACTCGTTGGAGCCGAGCAGCAATCTCTTCCTTGGCATAGTGGTCATCAGCTATGAGCCGTTCAGCAGAATGTTTTAGGTCAGTGATCTTTCCTTCCTAGTGAAAGGAAAAGTAAAGTGTTCAGATATCTGGAGATTAGACCATTGGTACAATCCCAGACTACCTTCCACAAAAGAACAAACATATCCTTTGTGGTTTGGTTCAAGAACCAAAGGTTAAATGCTTTTATAGGGACATGAATTTCAACTCAAGGAGAGAAGCAATTTTTAATAATTATTAAAATTATCTACGTGGTCAACACGTAGATGAGCTACTTGAATGGAACCAAGTTCTCTGGAGGACAGCTACTTTCTAAGATCATTGTAGAAAGTCATTTTTGCATTGGGTGGAATGTTGAAATAGTCTATAAAGTCTCGTTCAGTTCTAAGTCAAAATTTTAAATTCTAAATTCTGCCTACTTACATTGTGAAATTTTCTAATAAATATCTTAGAAAGCAAGACAAATTCTAGCTCTCCTCTACCTAGTTATTGCTTAAAAAATAAAAATCAGATGTTCTTGAAATTTAAGCCTATCGCATACTTTCAATGCTGGCTCAATATCTGTTTGTTATCTAGTTAAGATGATACATATATGAGAACACTTCTAAATATAACTGCTATATTTTTTGTAGTCTGAAAAAAATGAATAATTAACCAGTCACATAAGATCTCTAGGACACATAGTTTCATTATCTATAGACTAAGGATGTTAATAATCTATTTTATAGAATTTCAAAAAAAGTTATTAGAGATGTTTGTTAAACTACCAGTTATATTTTTAATGTAAGAAAAACTAATCTGCGCCCCTCTCAACTCAGAGGAGATGGGGATTTAGTTTAAGAGGTAAACTCCAGAGAATCCCTAAAGACTGTATCAAACAGCCATCACAATTTTAAATATAATCAAAATGAAACTTCTTCATACCTCATACCTTGCAGGTTAGTGTGGTTCACTTTGGTTAAGTGAAGCTGTTCTAATGGTTTTAGTTTGGGATGAATCTAACTATTGTTGTATCTGAATTTGGAGAGCTTTCTTTCATTAAAAAAAAAAAAAGAAAGAAACCAAAAGTTTCAATTGCAAAATTATGCATAGAAATAAACAACTATCTAGGAAAGAAGGCCCTTGTCAGGGATTCATGCAATGTAGAGGCTCATTTGCTTCACAGTAAAGTCACTTCTGTACTCAACTTTTGAGTAGATTCACTGGCTGAATCAAACAATCCCACAAAGCTGTTTGTCTCCCCTTTTATTCTAAGCAATAAGCCTAGGCAATATTGTTCACTGTTTCACCATCTGGTATTGTGCTGTAGGGTCAGCACTGGACTTTGAACAACAAGGTTGGCAGTTCAAACCCATCAGCAGCTCCTCGAAAACCCCAAAGAGGGTCGCTATGAATCAGAACTGACTCAGCGGCACTTAACAACAACATAACATAAATGGCGTTCTGGTGTGCTGCTGTAGGATAAGCACTAGACCATGAGGTTTGTTTGAACTGCAAGACTGGCATTTCAAACTCATCAATCAACCTCTCCTTGAAAACCCTATGCAGGGTCACTATGAGTCGGAACTGACTTGATGAACTTTAACAGCAACAACAGAGCATAAATGGAGTCCTGGTGTAGTGCTATAGGATAATCAATGGACATCTAACTACAAGGTCGGTGGTTTAAATCCTCCAGCCACTCCTTGAAAACACTATACAGGGTTGCTTTGTGTCAGAACTGGCATGACAACACAGAGCAATAACATAAATGTGTTAAGTTTCAATTGAAGCCTGAAAAATAACAACACTAAACTGAAAGTGAGAAAATCCACATGCCACATATAACTTGAGCAAGATATACCACATCTTTGCTCTTCAACACTTTAAAGAGGTCTTGTGCAGCAGATTTGCCTAACACAATATGTTGATTTCGTCACTGCTGCTTCCATGAATGTTGATGGTTGATTCAAGCAAAATGAAGTCTTTGACAACTTCAATTTTTTCTCCATTTATAAGGCTGTTATTTATTAATCTAGTGGTGAGGATTTTTTATTTCTTTACATTGAGGTGCAACCCATACTGATCTTCATCAGTAGGTAACTTAAGTCTTCTTCTCTTTCAGCAAGCAAGGTTTTATCATCTGCATACCACAGGTTGTTAATGAGTCTTCCTTCATTCCTGATACCAAGTATCTCTTCAAATAATCCAGCTTCTCAGGTTATTTGCTCAGCATACAGATTGAATAAATATGGTGAAAGAATGCATATGTCAGTTTCAGGACTAAGGTGCTCCTGACCCAAACCATGGTATTTTCAATAACCTCATATGCAAGTGAAAATTGGACAATGAATAAGGAAGACCATAGAAAAATTGATGCATTTGGGTGTCCGGTTTGGGCAGTGGCAGAGACAGCTAGTTAGGAAAGGCTCTGTGGAGGAGGAATTGAAAACCCAGAGAAGCTGTGCTCACAGAACACCACCAGAGCTCTGGATCTAGCATAAGGTCCAGGGTGTCAGTTTCCTTCATGCACAAGTGAAAAAATCATGGTACAAAGGAAAATACTGTGAGTTAGGAATCACTCCAGATGGGACTTCCTCTGTGGCCATCCACCAAAGTGGAGTTCAGAGGGTGGGGCTACAGACAGACCACACAGGGAACTAGGGCTGAAAGTGGTGCAGTGACATCTGCAAAAGGAGGTGTGGGGGGTTCTAAACATTTTTTTTTTCCCTCTACCATGTGGCACATTCTTTACCCAGCCCAGACACCTACAGGTGGATGGGTGCATACCCCCTGAAAAAAAGTCCAACACTGACCCCACAGTTTTCTCACAGCACAGAGAGAAAGAGTGTGGTGGCTGTTTATGTCATCAGCCTGTGGGTCCCAGGCCTAATGTTAACTTGTCCAGGACCCTTTACTCTGGCCTATCCAGCAAGAAAAATCCTGGTCTGGCCTGACAGACAAACCATATGAATAATCTGTAAAGCCCCAACATAAAAGTACTCAACCATCTCAAGAATTATGCTGTGTACACACAGATACCTAACTGACCTTCAGAGACAAAAACAGTAGACATTTCCCCCCCACTACTTCTCAATATCTATCTGCGCACCTCTACAGTGGTTACTAGAAGAGTGGCCTGAGAAAGCAGACACCCCCACCCACTGCTGGAGGATCCTATGGTGCACACACACTGCCTGTGTTGCAAGTTGGGTGACCAGTTGGCCAAGTTTTATTTTTGTTTCAAAGAGGTGGTTTTTGTCTCTGTTTTTATATTGCTTCTACTTGTTGTCCTTCTGATCACACATTTTTCCTGGAGGTGGGAGCTTTTTCTCCCTATATTACCCAAGAAAAGACAGCAATCATGGCCATATAGCTAAGCTACAAGCATACCCCATAATATTCCACCATTGAGACAAGAGCCAATAACAGCGTCTAAGCATTACATGAGAAAAGGGAAGTCTATCTCTTGATCATATCCACCAAGAGACACTCAGTAAGCATAATAAATAACAACAAACATGCATTAAAGCATTAAAAAACCCACAAAGTACTGGAAAAGAAAAAACAAATACAGTAAACAATCTCAAAATATGTCCCAAAATAGAAAACAATAACTGAGACAAATGAGCTGGAGACAGACAAAGGCTCCCAGAAGAGGAAGAGCAGGCTTTTTATTCGCCTGAGAAGGGATTCAGAAGACTGATATGGAAACAAATACAAATGCTCTGAAAAGGGGTGGAAAAAACAAGAATGAAGTCACGAAAATACTACAAGAGCAATCAAACAAGATTGATACAGCATTGGAAACTATTCAAAACCTGCAAAAAAGATAATTAATAAAATATCAGAAATGCACAATACACTGAAAGGGGAAAGGAGCAGAATAGAAGAGATAGAAGCCAGAATTAGTGAGCTGGAAGACAAATCTCTCAAAACAGAAAAGAAAGAAGAGCAAGCAGAAAAAAGGATTAAAAAAAATCTGAAGAAAGTCTAAGATTCATGTTGGATAACATGAAGAGGAACAACTTAAGAATTATTGGCATTCTGGAACAGGAAGAATTAGAGAAGTAAACAGAGGAGATAGCTGAAGCGCTTCTGGAAGAAAATTTCCCTAACATGTTGAAATATGAGAAGATAAACATTCAAGAAGCCAAACGTACCCCAGGAAGGATAGAACCCAATAGAAACCAAGACATATAATAATCAAGCTCTCCAAAATCAAAGGCAAGGAGAGAATCCTAAAAGCAGCCAGGGAGAAGACAACTGTCACTTAAAAAGGCAAGCAAATCAGATTAAGCTCTGACTTCTCAGCAG